TAACATAGGAATATAGTTTGAAACTAATTATATATTTTTTGTTTTTCATTACTTTTCATCATTTTTCTCATTATTAAACCCCCTCCGCTCTTGTTCATATTTTTTTTATCAAAATTTCTTTAAATTAAAGAATGCAAGCCACTTAAAAATGATTGTCTTTATTTTCATTTTTAAATTATTAAATTTTTGTACATAAATGGATATTTTACACATTTTTATAATACTAAGCATCAGGCGCGTACGCAGCGGGGAGGAGCAGGGGGACAAATCCCCCCCCCCCCCCAAAGCCAAAAAATGCAGATGCCGGATATATTTAATATTATTGTTTATATTAATTATATTTGTTAATATTTATTCCTATCTCATATTAAATATTAAATTACATTTATTATCACATTTATCTACTAAGTTATTTTATCAATTAATTTCGATTTTAAGTTTTCCGGCGTAATATTTACTTATTATTTTCAAATTTTAGTGGCGTAACATTTATCTACCATTTTCAAATTTATAGTCAAATAATAATTATTTATGAAACTTCTTGTCCATCAGGGAAAAAGAAATTGCAATCTTGTCCAACGAGATAGAGTCTCTGCCATCAAGCAGTAACAGCTTTTAAGGAGTTAGAAGAGCCAATTATTTGCTATTACTGAAATATCACAATGGCCTGAAAGAAATATTTCCTCAGAAGGGAGAAAATTATTGGATTCAATGCTTATTCCAAATTTTATTTCTCATTAGAATGTATTATTTAATTATACAATTATTTTAAGTATTACTTTTCAAAAACATGACATTGACTTGATTAAGAAGATGAGAATAGCGGAGAGCATTTTATCAGAACTCAAGGAAATTAGGGCTAATGTTGATGAAGAATTTCATATTTTATTTAATATTTGTCTCCCTCGACTTGTAACAAGGCAGGCTCATCGTTAAAACATTAATATAGGATCAGTAGAAGAGTATATCTTAAATACAGATACATTTATAACCCAAATAAATGAATTTTTAATTCATCCTGCAGCACTTACTAATCTGCAAATATTACTTCCACAAAAGCCTTCCCAATCTTTTTCAGATGGTGATAGAAAAAAAAATATTTGTTAGATTTTTATTATGAAGATGTTAAAGTATCTTATGATGCCTTACTAGCTGAATAACTATGTTTATAAGATTAACTATGGTTGATATAGTCCCAGCTATGGATGCTCTGCATTATTTCAAACATATTTTAGATTAAATTCCCAATGTATTTAAAAGGTTTATAAACTCTTCCCATTAGTAAACTAAGGAGAGAACATTCTCTTTTTTTAAGAAGAATAACAGAGGCCTGCAGAAGTACCATTTGCAGGGCACGGCCCGGATTTTTTTAAAAGATTTTTTACGGCACGGCCTGGGTTTTTTTTAAAAATTTTCAGGCCCGGCCCGGCTTTTTTTAAAAAAATTTTTAGGCCCGACTCGGCTTTTTTTAAAATAAAATTTTCAGGCCCGGCCTTGATTTTTTAAAAATAAATTATACTTATTTTTGATTTTTATAGCTAATAATAACGATTTCAAATATAAGCTCTTTTAAAAAATACAGCCCGGATTGGGTGTTTTTTAAAAATAATTCAAGCCGGCTTGGGTGTTTTTTTAAAAAAATTTTGGGCCGGGCCCGGGTATATGTAAAAAAATTAAAATACTGTACGGCTTGGGGGCCGGGCCTGCAAGTCTCTGAAAAACATACCAAGAAGTACAACATCTGAAAGTAGATTGAAAGGTTTGGATGTGAATATTCATAGGCATTCGACGACAAGCAAGGATGAGATAATTGAAAAATTAGCTCAATCACAACGAAGATTGAATTTTACATTGTAAATATATAACATACAAAATGCAATTATTCCTAAGAAACTTTTTGTATAAAGGCTCAAAAAATTCAAATTTCTATTTTGGGTCATTTAAGTGATTCTTTACATATAATTTTTTTATAATTCACATTAATTTAAAATTGTGTATTAGAAATAGTTATTAGTCCTAATAAATTTATGCTTGATATTTTTAAAAAACAATAATATTTCTTAAAAAATTTTATTATCCCCCCCCCCCCCCCCAGACCAAATTCCTGCGTACGCGCCTGCTAAGCATAATATAAAAGTAACTAAGATAATTGTCATAATAGTCACTTTTAACTTTTTCGATCTTTAAGTGAATAGGTAGAAATAAGTTATATCAGTCATGATTATCGTTTTATGTCACCTTCTGAGTTATATTATTGTCAATATCTCATCCTCTCACCTTTCCATGCAAATCAAATCCAACATGTTTTCATGTTTTCATATTTTTAACCTTTATTAACTTCTTCCGACGACAATATCTCAGTTGTCGGAATTTTGGTAAATGTTGAAATTTTATGAAGCATATTTTCTTAAAATATTTACTTAAATGATTTTAAATAACAAATAAAAGTTAAATTTTTTTAACCCACCCATCCATTGTTCAAATTTTTTTAACCCCCCCCCCCCTCTCCTTTTCTCCGAATTTATATATTTTATATTTCTAAAAAAGATTAAATATGTTAGCTGATCCATAAAATTGTAAATCAAAAGTTTAAAAGAAACATTGAGAAAGAACCAAATAAATGTATTCAAGGATTTATTTTATTTACAAATTCATTTTCATTTTCAAAATCAATAATTATAAAAATCTCGATTACTGGATACGCTGTATATACACATTCATATAGTTTACTCATAATATCAAGAATAAGTGCTTATTTTGTATATTCGCCGGAATATACATACAACACAAAGACCGCAAAGAAGGGTTATCACACTATGCATTTTCTTTACAAATGATTATGCTTTAAGTTTAGATAAATTATTTATTTATAGAAAATTCCTTGATGCAGCAAATAAATTATTGTTTAAAATTTTGATGAAGTAATTGCTAACAATGCAGATAAGATATAAGGTGTCAAAAATTCTGAATTGCTTCTAATAACTAAAGAATTGATATAATAAACTTAAAATATAAAATTTCAAAAATTCGAGATTTATATAGTAATATTTTTAATTAAAAACAAATTCCTTATATTTTATATTTTTTCCACTCATATGAGCTTTTGTTTGAGCGAATAGATTGACCTTTAACAACGATATTGTTGGTTAATCGGAAGCATACATAAGGCAAAAAGAGGCATTTATGTAAAAATCGAAAGAAATAACCACAAAGAAAACCATATTTTTACTTTTTCCAAGACCGTTTTCCACAGCACACCAAATGTAACGATGTTATCTCTAGTGTACTTAAATCGTTGGGTATCCCATTTATACTCAAATTTTTTTTTACATATTTGAAATCAATAGGACTTCCAGGCAGTATGTCCTCAATTTCTTTGTAAGGGTTTATCTCCTGAGTTAGGAGTTCCCCTAAATTAAATCAACTGCTCCATTCAATCTTAAGATGTCCATGCACCTACCTAATCTCGCAAGATACAAATAGTTATCGATTTATTTTACTTATTCTTAATGCTTACTCTACTCTAACCTCTACAATAAGGAAAAGCAAATTTTTTTTCAAAGAATTAATGAGACGCGTAAAAAGAAACTCATCTCCTTTTTTTACGACATTGTTCCAGCAATTACTATCTTAAATCTATCTCTTCGATCGAATAATTTCCTTAATCCTAACCACTTACATTGCTTTCTTCCCCCCTACACTCCTTTCTTCTTTCCTAATTTTTCTAAAATTTTTAAAATTTTTATATTTTTATTATTCCAAATTTTTTATTTTATTTATATTCAACATTATTATTTCTTTAATAAAATTATTTAATAATTGAAAAACACAATTGGCTTCCAGTCAGGTTGTGACACTGTTAAGCCATATGCTTGTGTCAAATATAATTTATGCGTAAACTCCAAGGGAAGACAAGGTAATGATTATTACCCAATAATATTTTTAGGTAAAGCAAAAAAAGCGCTTAAAATAATTACAAAATTCTAATTTTGTAACGCATTTAAATAATTAAAAGACACCTTGAAGTTCGAATTTTGCAACTTTTATTTAAATTCTTTCACATAATAAAAATATTTTGAATTATTTTGTTCATTAATAATTAAATTAATTAATTTTGAAACTTCTTACCATTCTTATGAATGTGATCTCGTTAAAATTAAGTCAAAATTTCCTGAGAAATGACTTCCTTCCATCTAATAAAGTCTAAGTAATTGGTCAAATCTATTTATATATCGATTAATATTCAATCCTTTGTTTTTCATTTATCCATAAATAGTTAGATTTGTTTTTAAAATCCCTGGTGATTTGGCTGTATAAAGTAATATCTAAGATTTCATTCATTATCTTCAATTTTTTATTGTCCTTAAATTTGATTCGATTAAATTTTAACGTGAGAATAGCAGATATGATGAGTTTAATTGGAACCTTTCAAAAATCCATAGGTGATAAACTTTTAAACATTTTTATATCAGAATTGTAAGATGATAATTGTAATAATCCTGTTTATTTATTATTCATCAATTTTCCTTATTATTATTCGTACTTCTAATAACGAATAATTTTTTGAGTCTATACTATGATATGAAATAAGCGAGATTATATGATTTTTATAATCTAATATAAGGAAAAATTCTATCGTAAAAGAACAAGAAACAACCTTTTTCTCCTATATGTCTAGATTAATTTGATATCAAATTGATTCCATGAACAAATTACCTATATAAAATATTTAACAAATAAATGTGCATATAATTATATCATCATTTATATAGATTATAAAATCATCATAAAATATATTATGAAATCATCATATAAATACAATAGAGTATGTGAAATCATCATAATAGAGCATGTGAAATCATCAAATAAATATAATATATTATATATTTGTAATAATGCTTAATGTTAAACAATTCTTTCTAATAAAATTCTAGGCGCAGGTTAATTATATTGAAAATATGCTATAAATATATACGATATTTTAATATATTAGAAACAGAATGAGCCAAATCGATTTCGAGAGATCCGAAAAAAAGCTACAAGCTGCTTTGGATTCGGATTTTAATAATCAGGATAGCTCTCCTCGGACAACGTCTAAAAAAAAATCTTCGTCGATAATGAGTAGTTCAAATTTAGATTTTCCCGACAATGAAAAACATTTTTCGACGACTTCGAGTGACAAAGATTTAAAGAGCTCTGTGACCAAAAAATCTTCCACATCTTCCCAAAGCTCTCAGAGATCGAATCGACAAGAAAGAGAGGTTCCTAGTAGATCAGAAAGAAACGTTAGTAAAAAACAAAGTTTGGATTTATTGGCTAATCTACATCAACCCTCTGCCAGACGTCAAACAGAAGATAGAGATAAAGATATAGTAGATGCACCTCAAATAGAATTTATAAAATGTAATAAATATAATATTTAATGTTGTATACAAACAAATATTAATATATATTTGTATTATTTTAGCTCGGGATCGGCAGGAAGAAATGATACCCAAGGTATAATAAATACGTTTGCTAAGCTGTGATAAAATCAAATATAATAAATATTTATTATTATTTTATAGGGATCAAAAATAAGAAATGATGATCGAATTCTGCAAGAGGATCATGCAAAAGGCGAGAAGCCTAAATTAAGTTCCCGTCCAACGAATAGAGATTTAAATGAAATTTCTAAAAAAGAAACTAAAATTTTTGAAGAGGGACCAAAAATTGAGTCAAAAGAATTGTTAGGATTTTACGGGGATCAAGAAGACGATGAAGAATATCAAAAAATGTTAGAAGAAATTCATCAATGGAAACGAAAGAGAGTTAGGGCTCTCAATGAATGGAAGTCTAGTAGAAGGGATATGTTGAGAGACTGGAAGGAATTTAAAAGTAAAACATTTATGGATAAGTTGCAAAGCCTATGGAAGATAGAACTCAAAAGACATAATGATTCCTTAGACGGAGAAAGGGACCGATTAAAACGAGAATGGGAAAGTATGAAGTCTGATTTTATTGCTTTTGATGAAACAAGGGTCAAGGCTAAGCAAGAAGAACTTTTCGTGAGATGGACACAAGATAGAATAAAGATTATGAAAGATTGGGAGGGCCAAAAAATTGATGCTTTAAAGATATGGAATTACATGAGGGAAGAACGAACTCGGTGTATGGAAGAACACTGGAAAATATTTAAAAAAAATATTATGATGGATTTCGAAAAATCTCTTGAGAAGGCATTGAAAGAATGGGAAAAAGAAAAAATTCTGAGAGAAAACGCAGGTTTATATAATTTATTCATATTTAACTTGATTATCATCAAATGATAAAAACCTGCATGCCTGTCTGCTTTAGGCCAGTTCAATATCCATTTGAATTAATTTTTGAAATTTGGCCTAAAGGGGGGGGGGCAAAAGTATTTAAACCCAGGCCGAAATCTATTTTAAAAAATCACCAACTGGATAGGCGTGTAAAGGAATATCGCAACAAGTCTTTACTAAGTATATTGTTATTTTAAGAAAAAGAAAGATATGAAGCAATGGAAGAAAAGAGAAAAGAGGAATGGGAGGAAGCCAAGACCAAAGCTATATCCGATTGGGAGCTCAGCAAGAGAGAAGTTTTGGAAGAAAACGGCAGAGACAAAGCCGACAAACTGGAGAGGGAAGCTATGACTGATTGGAATAAATTGAAGCAAACTATCGTGAAAAGTTGGAAAGAGGAAATTGGTCAAGTGTTCAAAAAATTTGACGATAAAAAGGATGCGGCTATTGAAACTTTTAAAAAAGATTTCCCCGATACGTTATCGTTGGAGAAGGAATATAGAAAACAGCAGAGAGGTAACCAGCAATATAGCTCCAAAAATGTAGATGATTATGACATCTTAAAAGAAGCCTATCCACCTCGTTCAGATTTTGGAGTGAATAATGGAAATTCGAGACCGGGACGAGAGAATCAATACAAAGATATACTACCAAAAAGCATGCTTAGACCTAATGAAGTTGTATCGGAAAAAAGAATGATGACGGCCAGAATAGATTTACCTGAACATACCAAACAAATTGCCAGCGATAAATCAACCTTTTCAAATTCCGATACCTCAGATTGGGCCGATTCTGAGGCTAAAATAGATAACGTTTTTGACAATAAAATACGTTCAAAGAAAGATCAATCTAATTTGGAAGAAAAGGTTTACGATAAAAGAATAGCAGAACCGAGTTTCAATTCGAGTCAGATTAACAAGAAAACGATTAAATATGAAATAGAAAAAAAATATATTGATGACGAATTTTCTCCCACAGAATCTCCTTAAAGGATAGTCATTAACTCAAAATACAGTGTATATTTTAGCTTAGGATGTAATATTTTTTCATTTGCTTTATTAAAATCATCAGACAAATTATTTAGGGAATATAAAATAGAAATGTTTTTTTTATTAAAGTATTACATAAATAATAATATTCTTTGTAATAAAATGAAAAATTGTTAATTTTACATAATTCTTTAAAAACCTCAGCTAATAGACATATTTATTCTTAAGATTAGGTCATTTATTTCCATTTGTATATATTATCATTAGATATTATTTTAATAATTATAAATATCTTAACAGTTATTAGCCTCTCCCTTAGAATGAGTGGCGTAGCCAAAATTTGACTGTCAGTCGGGTAACCTCTAAAAGAATCTGATTGAAGTATTTTTTATTTTCCTGTAGATATTTTTTTTATTTTGCAATTGGAAGCCTAATTCTAAAATATAAGCCAATATTTCATGTTTTTTAGTGCTTGTGAGGACCTTAACTAGCATAGTAGTTAGCATAAAGAGACTAATTTTTAGCAACACAAATTTTATCAATCTTGAAATTAAAAAGGGACTGAAAGCATTTATTCTAAAATTTAATCAATACTTCGTGCTTAATTGCATGTTATTTTAAAGTTTGGTAGTCAGTATAAAGAGAAAAAAATTTGTTATTAGTAAAAAAAGAAATCATTGCTAAAATTGGCATCATACCAGAATGGAAAACATAGAAGAACTAAAAAAAATATCTTTTTTGCCCTAATATTTGATATAAATTCCCTAATCAGTTTTGCGAACCACAAAAATGAAACCGAGTTATAAACAAAATGAAAACTAAAACTACGCTTTTAGCGTGAATTGAAGGGAGCTTTTGTAACATTAATTCTGAAACCTATTCCACATTAAGTAGGGCTTAGTAAATATTGCCTTAATATGTCTGGTATAAATATTCGTTTTTTAAGAATTCTAGTTTGCTTAACATAACAATTTAAAAGCTTTAAATCAAAGAGTAATTTTAGGTACTTTTCGACACTCACATTTATATAAATTAGAGATCTGTTGGCCCAAACGGGTTTCGGCCGGATCTACTTTTAAAAAATAATATGAGTTCGGACTGGGTGGGTCTAATATTTTTTTTAAAAATTTCGGACCGGGCCGTGTATAAATATCTAAATATTTAAATATGATATTACATTTTGTCAAATAAATTTATATACCTTAAAATTCTTATAAGAAACAAGGCGCGAATATAATTTATTTGTAGGATATTTTTTTACATCAAAATAATAATTAATTTTTCCATATTTAAATAAATTCGGGCCAGGCGAACAAATAATTTTTACTTTTAATGTCGGGTTTTTCGGGAAAAATATAAAAAATTTGTTCAGGATCGGGCCGGGCTTGATAAATTAGGCCCTATTCAGATCACTAATATAAACATCATCATATACATATAAATGCCAATTTTAGATAATGTCTATAAATGCTGTGATGATAATTGATCTAATATAAATCAATAAATTAAATGTGTATATATTTAGAATAGAAATGAAATAATTTTTTGAGACTCCGAAAGTGGAACTAGACATTTCACTTGATCGAAACCGGAAGACGAAAATATATTTTTTTTGAGTCTCTGGTTATAGTTTTTACTTTACTTTTAAAATTTATACACATAGCATAGGTTTTTTGTGTATTGCATATATCAAAATATAATTTTGATATGTATTTTTGGGCGTATTTAGGGCATTTTATTTTTCCCTAGCTATAAGCAGAGACCTGTAGAGGTACCATTTGCACGGCCCGGCCCTGATTTTTTTTAGAAAAATTTTCGGTCCGGCCCGGATTTATCGCCCCAACCCGCATTTTTTAAAAAATATTTTTAGGCCCGGCCCAGAATTTTTTTAAAATATATTATATTTGTTTTTAATTTTTGGTGATTTAAAATATCTGGTTAAAAATTTAAGGCCCAATTTTTAAATATTTTAAAATTTTCAAAAGGACACGACACTAGTGAATTATTTAGTTTAGAAGCATAGAATTTAATAGAAAAATAAAGTGTAAATAAGTTTGCAAATTTATCCAAATTGTTATGAGCTCATCCTTGTTTGACATTCAGAACAAATCTTACCCTGGCCGAGGTTTGGCTATCGTCTTGCTAACTTTGGATAGCGAAAACAGAATACCGGGATACTATGAGATTAGAGCGAAGCCACCAAGGATGTAGACCATGGCTTAAGGGTGGGAAATTTGAAAGACCTTCCCAAAGAAATCATACGACGGAAGTTTAAATAAAGTCCTGCTCACTTTGAATAAAACAGGAGACTGGGAAGTAGATACCATAACAGGAGAAGAGATTAGGGTATCATAGGAAACAGGGTAGAGAAGGGATGATAAGTACATAAAAATAAGGGCTAACCACAACTAGAATGTCCAGAAAGGGTGGAAATAGTATATCCCAATAGGATTGGAAAATGAAAAGGTGCTCCAAAAATCCCAAGGAATGCAATGGAGAATCGGTTCAAGAGATATTTGAGAGGCGGTTCCGTAAAAGATGGGAAATCAAACGTACAGTAAAAATGGAGGAAGAAGACTAGAAGAGAAGCTAAATGGCTAGTCAAAGTAAGCTGAAGAACTGGGCAAAAGACTGAAGGATTGAGGTTTCAAGTTGGCCCTAATATATTGCGAGAAAAGGGCATTTGAGTAGGAAGCTAGTAAGGTAAGGACCACAGAAGAGAAACTCTTTGGAGATGAATATGCATGCCAGACAATAAATATAAAGATGTGGGGATATTTTTACGCAGGATCTGGGGTGTTTGTTTTTAAGTAATTTTGATTTACTAAGATTAAAAGAAAATTCAATACATAAATTTGCCGAATCCGTCTGCTCCCATTAATATCGCGACGATAAATAAAGAGTTAAGGCCTAGGGGCTTTCTTCTACTACCTGAAGAATATGTTGGTAACCGGTAGAATAGTTTGAAAATCGCATATGGGAAAAAGTTTGAAAGCTGTTATTAAGAAGAGGTGTTTGGGGTAGTGATTTAAGATTCAAGGGAGTTCGAGTCTTGTAGAATCCCAAAAAATAGCGGAAAATGGGAAAATAGGCTGGAAAATAAGGTAACCTAAGAAGTTAAAAACTACAAATATATTACAATTAATATAAACAATATAAGCCAAAATAGAATGAACCTATATTATTTATGTAGTAATATAAGATAAAATGGTTTAAATCATGGCCAGAATCAGAACAACATTCACTAGAAGATATATGTATCTCTTCCTTAGTTGTTCCAATTATTAGATTCTGGAAGAATTTCGTCATGTAGATGTTGATGGAAACCAATTTTCGCACTCTTTCATAAAGTAATCGATTTTTTATATTTGATTGTGTTTTTCCAAAAGCAGACCATATTCTTTCTGAGGCTGCACTAGATGAGAAGATTGAAAATGATTTTGCGGCTAATAGACAGAGTGTCGGATTTGTACAAATCTTCCACTAGATTTATGGTAAAATATTTGCAAAACCTTGCTATATAGCACGATATTTCCAAAAATCTTCTTTGACAGCTAGAATTATCATTACTGTGTCTAAATTTAGGTATAAACGTTTGATTAACCTAGGTAGAATGGCAAAGGTAGTTAAAAGTTTTTGAGTTTTATGAACTATTATAATTTAATTATTAATTTAATACTATTACAAATAAATTTAGACGAATATTTCTGATAAATCTCTATATTCCTGATAAACTTTGAGGAACATAATTATAATCTGGTTTAGGAAATATAGAATCTACAAAGATATAGCTCAGAATAATGAATAAAAGTTTCTTCCCTCATTCCAAATTTGAAATAGCGATAGAAGTCTCATTAATTATAGGTAAACATATCCACAAATATAAGAAATAAAACTAGCATATTTAAGCCATAATAAACAAAAAAGGAACATTAAAAAATGTTGATTTCAATTTTTTCAATTTCTTATATTTATCTCTGAATCTATATTTATAATATAACAATCGGAAAATGGCAAAAACTGATAAAAATATTATCATATTTTACAATACGAACTTACAATTTATATAACACTGAAAATAGTGTATAGTAACATTAGGTTGGTAAGTAATTTGATGTAATGAGAATGAGAGATAACGTTTGATCACAAACCAGATAGTATTCCACTAGAAAAAAGTTATTTAAAAATTGGCTGAAGATAAAAATGTTAATCGATAAAAAAAAACAAGAATTTTTTTTATAAAAGCTAAATAAAGAATATTCCCAGGTAAATAAATCATTTTCCCGGGCAAATTCCAGGATATTTACCCCATGCTTGCATAACTAGTTTGGGTTAATGGAGATAAATCATATGGGTCAAGAATAAAGGGAGATAAAGTAGAATTGAAGAATAACATAAAAAGCTTTATAAAGATGCGTCCATAGAATAATAAAAAGAAGGGGAAGACATTTCTTGGTATCGTCAACTACTATCATAGGTTTATAAAGGGGCTTGCTAAAAATGCAATGTCTTCACACAAATCATTAGAAAAAAGGAATAAAATAAAATATTCCTTTGATAATTTTAATTTTGCTGGAATATATTATTTAGTTACGGAAATTATAAAATGTGTAATCGTATGCTTTTAATAAAATAAATTTTCATTAAATAATTGATAACTGATAAGACATTAAGTGGATTATTTATATTGTTAAACCAATTGATATATTCCTGATAATATTGACAAAAAAAGATGGCCTTTCTGTAGAAACGAAACTACTTAAATTTTGAAAAAAATATTTAAAAAAAACTGTTTTATTATGATTTTCAACTTATAAATTATGAACTGTGATTACCAAAAGAAAAACAAAATTTAAAGAAATTTTAAATTTAATATTTATTTTTTGAAATTTACTAAAAACCATTCAAATTATCAGAGTTTTTAATCGCTACTTTTAAAAGTAGCGCGCTACCGCTATCGCTATTTGTCAAAAAAAGTAGCTCGCTATTAGCTACTATTTTTAAAAAGTAGCTTTAGCTACTTTTTATAAAAAAAAATTTAGAAACAATTTTTTTTTTATTTTGCACATAATAAAAATCAACATTTATAAATACTAAAATATAGTTAATTTTGATTATAAAAAAATTTATGTAATAAATTTTAAATATTTATGGTAATTTGTTGAATTTTAATAATAAAATCATTTCAATATTATCATCCCCAAGTCTAGAGCGACGATCAGAAAGTATCAGTTTTGCCTTACTAAATAATCTCTCGACACTAGCACTTGAGGACAAGGGATTATTTAATCCTATATACTATGTTGTGTCCAACTATCAGCCGTGGTACATATATGAGATATCTCTGATAATTCTACTATTAAAGCATCTTTCATCACTTTAAACTTATTTGCTATTTTATTCACAAGTGTCTGGCGACATAAAATATTGTACCAGGTGATAAAGTTTTAATCATCATAGTAAATGATGGATTATTAACCAAGGATATTGACTGAACTGTATCAATTATAAAATCCACAATAACTTTATCAGTTAATTTCTGAGAAATATTGGCATTTGTATTATTAATTAATTTTCTCTAAATGGAATTAGTCTTTTTGGATGTAGATTCACCTATGCCAAAGTTATTTAAATGTTGTTCAATTTCCTTAAAACTATTAGCATGAAAAGTCTTTTAAAATAAATATTATTATTTTATGTAAAAATGATAATTTACCTTTAGGTGTTTCTTGAGGTTATAGCTACTGGATTGATTTGAGGAAATATTTTTTTTACATTTTAAACATATAAATTTGAAGCCAGTTTTTGTTTTAATATTTATCTTGAAAAATTTTTAAAATCTAGGGAATGGGAAAGTATTGCTATGAATAAAAATTTTTTCCCTCGTATCTTCCAGTTCATCAATATCATTATCTGACTCTGAATCACTTTCAACGATTTGGATATCCATATGCGATGCCATTTTAAATTATTAACAGGTGATTTAGGTTTATAATACAAATTGAAAATATAAATTACAAATTGAAAATATATTTCAATTTCAAAATTAAATAATAAATCATAAAAATTATAATTAATTATGGTATTATATTTAAATTTTCGTGCTTATACTTACATTCATTATATTTTTTAACTACTTTTAAAAAAAGTAGCGCGCTAAAAAATTAAATCATTTTAAAAAAAGTAGCCGCTATTAGCTATAGCTACCAAAAAAGATAGCGCGCTAAGTAGCGCGCTACTTCAACAACTCTATTATAAATTGCAAGTATAACAATCGCAAATTATAAAAAATCACGAAAAATAAATTGGTGAATCAAGAAAAAAAAAGTGGTAAATTTTTTTACAAAAATCAAGACCCATTCCTATAAAATTTAAAATCCCGTTTTCCGCTCAAGATCTACTTTTTAAAATGACTTACTGCTCAAAAATCATAATGATAACTTCCTAGTTCCTACAGGTCTTTGAACTTTCCTTTATATATATTTTCTTTCTATTTTATTATGCAAAATCACGATATAATTGTTAAAATAATGCAAATAAGGGACTCTAAAAGCACCTAAAATATTATATTAGTTTAAGCGATTGAACAAAGCTAAGCGAGCATCGAAGTTATATCACCTTGTTTTAAAAAACGTCAAATATGCATTTATACGTATAAGACTAATTAATATATTTAATTTCCTTTTCAATCTCAGGCTCATATTTGTTTCAATCCTTCATTCATTCTATAGGTCTTGCATTGCGTCTTGTGGTTTGATATTAACACATAACCTCAAAAGTGGGTATAAAAAAATCTTTTAATGCTAGGTTTGTATTTAGATACACATATAAAAAATATTGGTATTAAAATTTTTTAAAAACATGTTTAATAACTTCGCCTTATTGTATTTTTTGATGATTTAATCATTCGAATTTTTTTTTAACTCTTTCTCTTTCACCGGAAAAGAATTTCATATATTTTTTTTATTAAGTTAGGACAAAAAAAATGTTTCAGGAATTTATATTTTTGAATTAAAAAAAATTAATAATAAATATGAGAATCGTTAACTACTATTGTCACAGAAATGAACTTTTCAAAAAAATCGTTGATAAATTTTTATAAGAAATCTAAAAATATATTAAATTTAGAATCAATTTAATTGTTATTATGTTTTTTATTACCTAACAAAAAAAGATGTTTGGTAATGTGTATAATGGTAGACGTTATTGATTTTTTAAATGTCTTTTTATGAAAATATTGGATAATTTCGTTATACTTGTATACAATTTTTTTTAGTATTTCGAATAACGCGTGTGGCTCGGATGCCAGAGACCTTGATTGATGAATCGATACATTATAATAATGGGTCTTGCATTTTAATAAAACATTGTTACAACTAATTTAAAGATTTTGCTTGAATGAACTACAATTTTTTCTGAAATTTTAATGATAAAATTTAGCACTACGAAAGAAAAAATAGACTTTAATTTTTAATTTTTTCTCTTTTAGGCCATTTTCCTTTTTAACCGATTTTATAATTACAATGGGTTTTGATAAGATTGATAAATTTGCTTATAATGTAGTTTTATTTCTTATTATCTAAACGATATGAATTTTGTCTTCAAATCATTTGTTGAGCTCAAACTAGAACTTTTTAGCAGAATGAATTGTCTATCAGAGAACACAGATGTGCAGGCCCATATCCGACAGCGTTTTAAATTATATTTTTGAAAACGGGGGTCAAAACTTTTTAGGACGGTTAGACAGAATTTATTTTAAAATTTCGAATATAAAGGGCTAAATAATAAAAAATTAAAATTCTTAGCTGGATGGGCGTAATTTGGAAACTCTTCAGGCTCTCACTGAGAATCTTCGTGTAGAAAATTTCTAAGAAGGATCCCCTTATGTTGATGAAAATAATTCCTATCAGAAGAACTAGTAGTTTCAAATAAAAGAATCTTTATATATTCAATCTCAAGAAGAAATGCCACTGAGAAAAATAATCTGTTTAATAAATATATTGTGTCATTGATATGTAGCGCTAATTGGGGAAATTTCCCTTTTTATTATTATTTAATTTACAAAATGTTCACTTAATGTTTGATATTATAAAATAAAAATTATATAATAATAGCTATATCTTAAATTTTATTGCTATTTTTATTTCAATATATATCAAAATGTTAAAAATATTTTGAAGCGATCGTTCCTTGAGGGGAAGACATTAAATTTTGGATATAATCACATAATCTGTTGAATCTTTTGACGGGTCCTAATAATTAATTAATTTTTGAATATAATCATTCTTACTTTTTAAATAAATTCCTCATTATTTTATACGCATCGATTTTAAGTAAAAAGCATTCTACAATTATATTTATACTACAGCATAAAAACAAAAGAAATATTTTTACTAAATAGGGGAAAAAACGATTATATATGACTAGATATTAAATTATTTAAAATAAATTTGCATTATATGCCGAACCTGATAGTAGGGTGAAAGTTATATGGAATGTGGATAATTTGGAATTGAATGCCCCGCCATCTGATGTGGAACTATAAATAGGGGAATTATTTTGTTTATTTAATGATGTGGCAGTATCTTGAACTTCGAGTAAACTAATTTGAGAGGAATCGACGTAAAGCATTTTTTCACTAATTGGGGATATTTTATCGGAATCTTTTTCACATTTATTTACAGCACTTTTGTGGCTACTTAGATTATCCTTTTCGTTTATACAAATAACAGAGTTTTCTTTTGATGTGATGATATCGACTTGAAATTTAATCGTTCGTTGAAACATGCCAGAGTTGGAGTTACGTTTGTAATCTATTTTAAACGAACTGACCCCTATTATTGTATGAGTCAAATCTGGTATCTATATAATACATAAATAATATTATACATATTTTGATAAATTAAATCAGTGGAATTCATTTATTGGTATCTTACGTGAAAAAAAATATTAACAAGGCGAGATTTAACGAGGTTGATTGTTGTATGGCGAATGGTGATAACACGAGTCTCGGAATTATCGAGGTTAAGCAAAGAATTGAACCACGATTTTTTTGACCTTGAATAAAATTTATGATACAAGTTATAAATAATATAAAAATTGATTTGGATTAATGCCCTTTTTTGGTTCGTAGAATTCTTCCAATTAAAAATTTATATCCGAGAAGCAAATTTTTGGCCGGATCTGCTCCTGTATGGCTGTATTTAGAGTTAAAAATAGTGGTGGCAGATGGAAAGTGAGAAACAAAGATAAAAAAATGTTGATTTAATGAAGCAAGGAAAGGCAATGTTAAGATTTTAATTGGAGATGACATGAGACAGAAAAGGAATCAAGAGAATCGAGGGTATTTATTACTATTCATAAATTAATAGCAACATTCTAATAAATAAGAAGTCATAATTTTTGTTTTAATTTTAAATAAAATAATTTGATGACGAAGAAATAGGTGTTATAATAATAATAATACATGATATTTTGTTTATATAGTATCATGGCCGAAGCCAAATGGGAGTTAGATTTTCCCCTTCAGAAATTTCACTATTAAAAATTATCCTCCTTAAATCTCCTACCCACTTCTATTCAGAAATGTATACGAGTCAATCAATATTTTAAAATAAAATTAGTAATAAGTTAATGATTTCCATAATGACTATAATTAAAAAAATTTCAAAAAAATCATTTTTTAAAAAAAGGTGAAAAGCTAAATTTTTAAAAAATTTAACATATAGATAAAAGCCTCCATTAAATAGGCCTAAAGGTCTCTGTTAGACATAATGGGCAGAAACGCCAAACAAAAGTGTTCTTTTATAAGGGCTATAATAAAAAATAAATTAAACTCACTCGTTATTATATCGAAATTGAGATAATTTATTATCGTTGTTATGCTCGAGGCTTTGGTAAATACTTTCAGTCGAGGTATTGGGAGCTAAAAATATTATATATAAAAAATATAATTTTAATTCTTAAAATTATAAAAATTTTAAAGTTTAAATCAGTTAATAACATAAGCCGTTGCACCATTTGATCGGGCTTTTTAATGTAATATATACTCATTAATAAATTAAATCCGATAAAATTATCAATTAATATTATCTAAAAGATTTTCTACAAAAGTTTGAAATTTATAGAATTTATTTTCGTTATTAAACATGCCTTGATAAAATTGCTTTATTAGACAATGAGCCTTGTTTGGTGATAATTAAACACCGGGTTACTAAAGAGGAGAGGTTGGGATCCGAATCCTCCCAATAAATTATTATACTGTAAACTACTTCAAAAAAGAAACGCGTTACACGTCACTCGTCACTTTTGAAAAAAGGAATGCGTTACCGTTATCCTGATATGGAGAACGTGTAACTCGCTATTCAAAAACTAAATATTATGCATAAATTATCTTTTTATTTATAGTTTTCCTATAGATAATAAAAATAAACTTATACAAAAATAGTATATTGCATTACAAGATAAGTTCTTGTAATAATTTTTTATTTATTTTTAATATAAATTGATTTTCAAAATTTTGATCAGATAAACAAGAGCGCTTAAGCAATATAGCTTCGATACGTTAACATACGTTCAACCAGAACAGAGGTTGGGAGGGTTGTATAATATTTAATAAATAAAAATTTTAATTAGGGGAATTTATTAAAAAATATTTAAAGAATGATCTTTATTTTCAAAAAAACTTATCAGATCATCTACATAGGAATCTTCATTTCAGATTCTCATCAATTTTTTTATCTTTATCGGAATTAATCTGAATTCATATTTTAGATTTGAACTGCTTGACATTAAGGTTAAAATATTTGAATTAAGGCCCAATCTACACTTACAAAGTGTAGACGTAGTGCTCTTAATTTTGTGTAAAAAATGCTTACATAAATTAATCATTTATTTCTCTATCCAAATATAACTGTTTTAACTCATTACATATAGTATATATAAGTACAGTGTCCTTAGTTCATATTCTGAAATTGATATGATTTTATCATAGTATAGACAAAATATAAAAAAATAATTCCGCTACCGCTCCAGATGCCACCCCCAATCAAAAATATATGATTAATGGCGTGATTAAACAATTAGTTACAATCAGCTGGTATTATATTAATAAATTACTATAATAGTTGGAAGTAAGTAACATTGTTTTATCGGTAAGGTTGTTATGATTATTTTCGCAAGAAGTGTTGGACACATTCGAGTGACACGATAAATGATGAAATCTACTGTATATAGTCATTCGATCTCCTCTTTGTTTATCATTTAAATTCTTTATATGATTTAATTTTTGCGCATGCTTTAAACTTGGTTTTTTAAGTTTTTCGACGTTGGTTATATCGACCGTTAATGGTTGTGACCCATTGATCAGGTTCAAATTTTTAAGCACATTTAACCTTAAATTTTGTTTAAATTAAAATGTATAATATATACTATTAGTAAAAAAATTAAATTATTGGGTGCTGTATTGAACACACTCTTATTATATAGTTATATATATATACCTGGATTTGATATTTGAGGGATATTTGTTGAAGTGGGAAAGGGATTCGGTTTCTACTTTAGTTTCATGTTTAATGGATATATCGTGTTGAATTTTTTCATTGGTGAAATGTTTTGCATTATCGCTAGAATTAGTTTGAACTAAAGCGTTTAAGCATCGATAATGAGGAATATATATGCCTTTTGAATCGAGAGAATGTTTGTTTTGTGTGGAATGACGTTCTGTTAATTTAGATGTTTTGTTATTAATTACGTGCGTTTTATCTGTTTGATTAGAATTTTCGGACCTTCTCTTATACTTACCCGTGCCATAAAAGTTAAAATTAAAGGCAAAGGGCTTTCCTTGTAAATCGTTTTGATTATGATCTTCAATAAAGGCACCATTTTCATGGTGATTGTCACAGTTGTTTTGCTGAAGAGAGTTGTTGGATAAAAACTTTTGACCACGACGATCCGAACTAAATCTAGGACTAGCAGATGGTGATGGCAAGGGATTGTTATAAAAACTTCTAGAACTTTATCAAATTGTATTTTGAATTATAAATATTTTGAATTTTTTTAAATTATACCCATTCCATTTTCCCAAATAAAATCTATATTCACTAGGCGAATATTGAGAAACATAAGGGGAACCATCGCTTAGAGTGTCCAAACTATACCTATAATTTGCATATAAATGATAATCATTTTATTTTTTATAATATACCTGCTCAAAGATTTGTAATTTATAATGCATTTATCTAATCTTTTTCTTGGGGGATCTGAGATAAGTTGCGTATAAAAATTTATTTTATTTTATGATAATAAATCTAAGATAATATACCTTCTTCTAGAAGCTTGTTGGTCTTTATTAATTTCGGGACTGTTTCATCTGAGTAATTTGGATTTCTAGTTTTACGGTCTAGTAGGTAAAAATATATAACCTTTTCCATTGTGTGTCTATAAAGGATTATTCAAAAAAATATATTTTTGATATATAAAAATTTAAACTATTTTAAATAAAAAAATAAATGTATATATGTAATAATGACTTTGGATTAAGAAGTTGCTCTATCAATGTATCTTCGCTTTTAAAACAGGCCAATGCTAGCATACAAGATAGTATATCTACATCAATTTCGTCCTTAGATGTAATTATATGCGTTTGAACTATCTGAGATATAGGCGGCTCTATAATAATTTCGTTTTTGCTTTTCAAATTTAAAATAATTTAATTTTTTTTAGAATAATATAACACTTAATCTAAACCGCTACTACAGCGGACCATAAAATTAATACAACTGTCTGATTTATATTAAGATTACTTTATGCTCAAGACATGGTGATTGTTTTAATTAATTAATGTTAGAGATGAAGTTGCCCTTATTTTACTAAAATTAGAAAGTTTAAATTTATTAAACATTCTTAATAAATAATTTGTTTCTTTTTCAGCATTTTTTGCTACATAGGCATATTATCCCTAATATCATGAATAGTTTATAAATAAAATATTCAAAATATTTTTAAAGTTATATTGTTACGGAAATATATGAGAATAATACTATTTCTATATTTATTATTTTATATAAATTTAACTTCGGTAATTATTATTATTGACATTAATTAACATTATTTTTTTAAGTAACAACCTAATTAACGGTGTATTGCTTAAAAATCAGAGTTGCTAAACGCTACTTTTAAAAGTAGCACACTACCGCTATCGCTATTGTCAAAAAAAGTAGTGCGCTATTAGCTACTATTTTTTAAAAGTAGCTTTAGCTACTTTTTAAGCTACTTTTTATAAAAAAAAAATTAGAAACAAATTTGTTTTATTTTTTGCTTATAATTTTATTGTATAGTAAATATATAAAAATCAACATTTATAAATATTAAAAAATAGTTAGTTTTGATTATAAAAAAATTTATATAATAAAAATAAATATTTATGGTAATGCATTTTAATAATAAAATCATTTCAATATTATCATCTCCAAGTCTAGAGCGATGATCAGAAAGTATAACTATAAAATCAACAAATCAGCCAATTTCTGAGAAATAATGGCATTTGTATTATTAATTAATTTGGTTTGAATTGAATTAGTCCTTTGGAGGTAGAATCGCCTTCATCAAAATTATTTAGATGTTTCTACATTTTCTTAAAACTATGGCATGAACAGTCTTATAAAATAAATACTATTAGAATGTTAAATGACAATTTACCTTTAGGTGTTTCTTGAGGTTAAAGCTACTGGATTGATTTGAGGAAATATTTTTTTTATATTTTAAACAAATAAATTTGAAGCCAGTTTTGGTTTTTATTTTTATTTTAAAAAATTTACAAATCTAGGGAACAGGAAATTTGCATTATAGCTATTAAGAACACTTTCTTCACTAGTATCTTCCATTTCATTAATATCATTGTCTATCACTTCCAACGATTTGGATATCCATAGGCGATTACATTTTAAATTATTAACACGTGATTTAGGTTTATAATACCAAATGAAAATATAAATTACAAATTGAAAATATATTTCAATTTCAAAATTAAATTATAAATTATAATTAATTATTATATTTAAATTTTCATGTTTATACTTACCTTCATTATATTTTTCAAAAGTAGCTAAGTCATGCGCTAAAAAAATAAATAGTTACAAAAAAAGTAGCCGCTATTAGCTATAGCTACGCGCTACTTTAACAACTCTGTCAAAAATTTAGCTGGGGGAGGGGAAGGGGGCTATATTTTTTTAATATATTAAAAAATATGTTTATGTAAAATCGATTTTTTTTTATTGCGTACATGAATAAATTCTTTATTTATATTATATTTTCAAAATAATCTCACAAATTTAATATTACCAATATCTGTACAAGTTAAAAAATATATAAGTATGAATTAAAAAATTTATTTCTTCGTTTCCTTTGGGTTCTATTTTTTTTTGAAGATTTCATTCGCCCATGATAGTTAATTCTTCTTATTTTGATATATGGATCTGAAACTCCGATATCGAAGATCCATTAATATTTTTGAACATTATATTAATGTAGTCACTCTTTAAATAGCTCGATCACTTACCATGATCAAATTCATAAGATGAAAATCCCCTTCACACTCGGCAGTGCTACAGGATAAATATTCACACAGTTAAGAAATTTTTTAATTTTTCATTATGAATATTTTAATGATTTAATTATTTTTAAATATCAGTCAATCAATAAAAAAAATGGTTCAATGTCAAAAGGACAAAGAATAACCTGATAAAAAAATATCCCAATTTGTTATTTCTTTCAAAGTAGATTGATTAATCATGACGACTAATAACACCCAACCATTTGAAAAAAATTCGTATTTAAAAATTTAATTAAAATGGAACTATTTCTTGCCTGTAGTGTTGTTAAATCTGATTTCTAGTTTGATTTTTTGTAGCAAATTTATGTTATTTTTTATTAATAAATAATCGGCTACCCAATGTTATAGATAGATTAGGTGATTTCGATAGTATCGTGAGGAAAATATGAATTTATAAAATAATTCCATCTAATATCTAAATCTTAATAATAAACGTCAAATACATATTAGCGATTTAGTAGCTGATCGAATGCTATAGCCATAAAGTGGTCAATAGTAATAATTCAAATTGTTTTAAATAATTTTTTCAAAAATCACAAAAGTAAGGTTTTTTTAAAAATTTGTATTATATAAATATAAAAACTAAATAAACATTTTTAGCTATAGGGAGATTATGACCCTCTAATCTCTGCCCTGTATACGCCTATGATACGATAATAGTAACAAATAATTTCTTCCAAAAAATAAATATTATGATATACATATAAGTATTTACTTGGCGACCCACGAATGATTTAGCACTTGGGCAAGCTTATTATCGAAAATATAATAATCATAATAATAAATTATATTCTATATTTATTTAAAATTAAATAATGTTTATGCATACGGTCATCCTTTTGTCTGGATCTTTTTCGATCATTCCCTTAATCAACTCTTGGCATTCCGGGCTAACGAATGAAGGGGTGTGAAAATAGCCACGTTTAACCTTTTCTAGCAAATGTCGTAAATTTTCATCGTCAAATGGTAAAGCTCCCTATAGTAAAACAATGACGATAATGCAATATTTACTTTCAATTCTTAATTTAATTATATTTCTAAATCAAGATCACTATAACTCTTATAATATTGCAATTTATTTATCATGTGTTTAAAAAATAATAAGGTCATTTAAAACAAAATACAATTTTGATTAGGTTTGTTTTGAATAACCAAAAAAAAAAGAAAAATTTATGTTTTTTAAATTTTTAGTGTTGTTTTGAAAGTTATAAACAAAACTTTATTTTATTTTTTAAATTCAACTTTTTTGTTCGCAGTAAGATTTTTGAATAAAAATAATCTAACCACTAATAAAGCATACAAGATGACGCCACAGCTCCATATATCCGCCTTACGACCATCATACTTTTCTCCCTAATTTATATAAAAATATTAAAGGAATTGATTGGTTTCATGTTATCACTTATTAGTAAATTATTAATTTAATTTTTTATGAAATATTTTTTTAAAATTGTTATACAGTAAATCCTTATCTAATATGAAAACTAATGGGCCAATCAATATATCAAAAAGAAGATTCGCTGAGGATACTCGTTTTTATTTGAGATTTGCTATATTAGAGAGGTTTTACTATTATATTTTAAAATCAACTTTTACTATACTCGTATAACTTCGGGACATGCGTAATGTGGAGATCTGTATAATAAATATAATATTAACAATTTTTATTTACATGTATTATATCAGAAGAGTATTTTTTAAATCCATTTCTTCAAAGGGATAATAGTAATATAATTTACCCACAACTAGTCTCCAATAATAGTCCATCCATCTGGAGGGATGCCATACCGAAATCAGCTATTCGAATGCTATTATTTTCATCTAGCAATAGATTCTCTGGTTTTAAATCTCTATGGCTTGAGGGAGGGTGTATAAATAAAATAATTTTAGTTATAATTAAGCAAATGCAAATAATTTTTAATTAATAATGATATATTAGTAATAAATAACCAGAGTTGGGCACGTCCTTTATAAAATGATTCTATATACAGATACAGATTATTTATAAAATAAATATAGATTCAGATATTTTTTTAAATTTCAGATACAAGATATAATATACTTATATTTTGCTAAATAAGAATATCTTAGAAACAAGATGTTTTTTATAATTCTTTCTAGCTGATCGTTATTTATTAAAGGAATAATAAAAGATATAAATTTTATGGTGTTTTTCTGTAGAACATAAATATATAAGAGATTTATCTCCTTGATATTGAATACAGATATTAGCAGAGAAGACCGAAGTTCGGACATTCTTAATTTAAAGTGCCATGAAATTTGAAAATATAACTTTTCGAAAAAATCATTATATGAGTTAAATCTTCCACATAATTTTTGGCTCAAGTATTTTTTCCAAAATAACGTGAACTGTTTTTTGTCCGGAATCATCCCATATCCAGGGTAATCCCGGACACAACCCGGTGAATATTCCTAATGTTTATTGGCATGATTTTAATAAAAAATAATTTTAAACTAATTATATAATAAACTTTTAATGAACTTCAATATAAAAATAAAAGCTTACAAACTTTTACATATAAAAAGGATTGATAATTTTTATATTTTTTTGAATTATTAATGAATCTTTAAATTGAGAGGATGTTATTATAGATGAATGTCCTTTTATGTCTCAATGCTAATTTAATTAATATAAACAATAATATTGTTTTTTTTAAAAAAATGAATGAATAATTAAAAAATTTAACCCAGTACGGCATTATCCCAGAGGAAGAATCTTAATAAATGTGATGTTCAAATTCTATAAAGTTTTATTTTATATTTATTAAGGGTTCAAAGTTGGTCACAGTATCTGGGGAAAAATTAAACAAAAAAATATATTACATCAAATAGTGGACACTAAATTAGCACAAATAAATTAAATTAAAATAATTAAAAGGATTACCAAAAATTTTTTTTATAAAATTTATTTTGAAACATAAGTGTGTTGATTGTTTCGATGAGCTAGAAAATAAATGACCGTAGAACTGGTTAAGGCGTGTAACCAAGATAAAGGAATTCCCCCCTCCCCCATCGCAGATTTGCCTGTTCTCTTAAATAACATCTTAAGCTAATAAAATTCCCACCCCCTTCCCTTTCAAATTTCCTCTCTCCTAAAAATGTATACAAAATATCACTATAAGGAAGAATTTGAAGAAAAATTAGTAAAAGTTGATAACTTTTTAAAATAACTATAATTCAAAATTTTTAGAAATAAGCATTTTGATATAAAAAGGTAAAAAGCCTAAATTATTTTTATAAACATCTAATATAGCCAAAGGACTACTATAAGAGGACCTAAAGATCTCTAATAAACTTTATGAAAACCCCCACCTATTAATGCTCTCTCCCACCTTAGCCTGGATACCTCTATGCTGTGGTTTGATCTTACTGGAGAAATATCCCAAAATTTATTCAAATAAAATTTTACGATATCATTTATATAATTATAATTAATAACCACAAAACCATCATTATATAAAAAAAAATTTTTCAAACAATGAACAAATTGAAATCACTCAAAATTACTATTTATATGTCTATTATACTATTGTGCCGAAAGGGCAATCCAAAATGATGGACATCGAAGTAATATATCTTTACACCCCCCCCCCCCCCATCCTTCATATTTCCCCTCACATAGTTATAAAATAAGGTCATGATTATTTGAATAAAAAGAAGAATGATTATTTGAAATATAATAAGAATGATTGGTATTTAAATGACAATTGATAAAATATCACAAATTATCAATATTAGCAGAAGATACATTTCAATATTAATATTACCCTATTCATGGTATCATTTACAAAATACATTATTACTTTTTATGGAGATAAAAGTAAATTTGATATGACGAATTTTTAGAAAACGTACAAAAACGTATTCAAAGGCGAATACGAAATCAAATAATCAATTCTTTTTGAACGAATATAATAATTTACTATCACATTCGTATGAATAGCAAAATATACCATTCATATTCGATTGGTAACTCAAAAGAATCTAATGGAATAATTTGTTAATCGATTTGTTTAATAAGCTTGTGCTGATATATGAAAATAGAACCTAAGAAAAAAGGAGATTTAAAAAAATGAATATCTAATCTTTTTAATAAAAAAATAAAGTATCTATATCTTTTACCAATGAAATGTAAAATAAACTATCTTAGATACAGGTGTAGGTGTCTTATTAAAAATTTCAAAAAATGCAAAGTATATGGAACTTGTATTTAGAACATAGATACAAGTATTCGCGCTACTGCCCAACTCTGTAAATAGCATAGAAATGTTTACCAAATTGAATGACTATGACAATAATTCAATGCTGATATTATCTCTCTAAATATTTTTTTGGCTTCTTTAGGCGTTAGTCTACCCTTTTTAACTAGATAATCGAATAATTCGCCATTTGGAACGTATTCTAACACCAAGTATCTAAATTCGTAAATATTAATTAATTATTGATGATTGTATATTAGTTTTATAATAGTGATTATTTTTTAAAAGTCAAATATTAGTATCCATCATACTTTTATATATAATCGAATTTTAAATATTAATATAGAATATTATGGTAAAATTTGCGTCTTATCAATTAAGATTTAATTCCACCCTCTTGAATTTTACTTTTATATTAGATTCTAAAAATCCAAAATGTAGCTCCTATGTAGACGCTATAGTGACCTGAACTTAGTTTTGTTAAAAGGCTCGTTTTGAGCCGATTTTTAAAAACGGCTAACTCAATACTTCATCCAGACAAATATTACCCAAGCCTGAAGATTTTGCTCATAGAAGGAACAAAGATCCAGACATATATTGTCAAAATCTTGAGGCTTAGGCAATATTTATCTGGCTAAAATATTGAGTTAGCCGTTTTTAAAAATCGGCTCAAAACGAGCCGTTTAAGAACACTACCTGAACTTATGAAAATCAATAACACAAATTCAAATATTTAAAAAATCAATAGATATATAAAATATACCTTCATATATCCCTTAAATTATTCCTTTGATAAATAAATATTTTTAGGTTCATTTGTTTTTATTTTCATTCCAGAAAATAATTATATTAAAAACCAGAAATTGATTTTATTTATAAAAAAATATTCATTAAACTTTTTTGTTAAATTTTTTTTTATAATTTCTTTATTTAAAATATAGTAATTATTTGGGAGGATTGCTTATAATTTCTCATTGAGTCTAGAATAAGATAGAGGTGTTTGGAAAAGATAGCGCCTAAAAGCCTATGGCAAATTAGAGATAGAACGTAGCAGGCCTAACACCGTAAGGTTCCATTAATATTCACTATTTCCAAAAATCAAAAATATTTATTGATTTAAGAATTTTGTCTTTTTAGAAAATGTTAAATTTCGATTTCGAGAAGGCAAAAAAGTAATGAAAAATAATCTAAAAGCATATTTTTATGAATTATCTACTACTAGCATATCTTTTTTGCTTTTATTCTCTAAAACATTTAAATTTGTACGTAATTTACAAATTTAGACTGGAGAGATATAATTTTCGATACTTTAATTTTAAGAAACGCAATATAAAAAATATTAATGAAAATTTAATGAATCGAATTGAAAATGCAATTTTTTGCTAGATTTGAAGTGGGATTAACGATTTTAAATATATAATTAGAGGAGGCCGCGATATTGCCACGCGAAACTCTTTAAAATTAAGGATGTTTGAATGCCTCTAACCAAGTCGAATTTTCATGTTCAATTTTTTTCCTATTTTATTTTAGTCCTTAAAAATAAAATATTCAAATGTAAATTAAGGAATATTAACTATTAACAGTGGGTTTAGCAGTGTCACCCGTAAGTTTTCTTGGAGTAGGAGGGGGGGGGAATTCTTTTGCAAAATAATTTAAAAAGTATTGTGAATTTCTTGGTCAAAAATACAATTCTATAAGCTAATAAATAAAATATCTTCAATGTTTTTTAAGAATTTAGTTTAAATTTTTCAGGATAAACAAAAATATTAAAACTATATAAAACAAAAATTATTAATTGAAAATCATCATTCTAAATAAAAGGAAAAGATTTATTTTAGATTCTCTACTCTGAATTCCTTTTGAAATTGAACTACTTATAGATACATATTGCATAACGATATGCCATTAAAGTCTCCTATTGAATCAACGTATGAATACCCCCTTTTCTAACTATTTTGCGACTTCGTTTTATTTTTTAGAATCCCGAAGTTGCTTCAATAGGTTACTCTGATAATATATCTAAATAGTTGAAGTTAAAAAGAGTGCGAAGTTAAGATGCCAAAACAAGCGTGAAAATATTCGTATAAACTAAGATAGCTTTAATCTACGGGTTGGTCTCAAAATTACTATGAAATGTGTTGGAACTATTATGAAAAGTTGAATTTTATTATTGGGACGCATAGTCTCTTTAAAAATGTGTTTACAATAAACAAATTAATGTTATTGAATTTGAATCTAAACCAAAAAAAGCATATCGCTAAAAAATTCAAATGAGTTTAGTTGCTTAAGCAATGTTACATAAATATAAATTAAATAATCATGGGGGAAGGGGCATAAAAATAAACATAAAGGGGGAAAAAAATAAAGAAAATAATTAAAACAACTAAATAATTGGAAATACAATATCTTATAAAATGAATGAAGATAATCAGATTAAAAATTTATAAAATATCGAAAAATGGGTGGGCAAAATTATGAAAACTATTGAAAAATGAAATTTAAAAAAATTATATAGAATTAATAATAAATAATTGAAAATGAAGAAAAATCAGGTAACAATTTTAAAAAATGTAATAACAAATTTGATAAAAAATACATTAGCAAGGGAAATTATTTTCTGAATAGATTAAATTTCTATAAAAAAACTAAAATACTAAAAATGAGGTAAATAAAATATAAAAAAGTATATGTATTAGAAGGAAGAATTAAAATTCAAAAATAAATCATAAAATACTTCAAAATCTGGAAAATTGATATATAAAACAAAATATTGCTAGATAATTTGTATATCAACTCTCTAGTTTGCATACTAGACAGTTTGTATATTAGCTACCTAATTTATAAACTGATTAAGCATTTAACTCTAGCTAAGCATATAGATAGTTTGTAAACTAGCCAGCTAATAATTTAATTTAGCCAACTAATTTGTAAATTAGTTAAATAATTAGTAAAGTTTGCATAGCGCTGCTATACCATATATAAACATAAACATTAAAATTTAAAAAATGCGCCTTATACAGCGTTCCAATTATCCATCACTCAAATCAAATATTTTAAATTTCCTATTTTTTAAATTTAATATGATAAAGGTATCGTTCATATACAAATATCTTTTATTTTCGAAAACGTCATATAGTGTCAAAATGTTGGGATGCTCGATCAATTTCATTATAGATATTTCACGTTCAACCTACAAATTATTAATATAAACTAATTTTACATATAGAATATGCATCTAAATTTTCTAACCCTTATAAGTATTATAATATTATTAACAAGATATTTCAGATCCATCATTATTTGATGTCTCTTTAAATTTTGATAAAAGAAAATATTATTCTTGATTTTTATATTATATGGTTTCACTAAGTAAAACTTCTTAATAAATTATTCATATTACTATAATAGAAATTATTTATACAAATTTATATTGTAATATAACCTTTTGTAAAACGCTTGGACTTAGTTTTTCCCGATTTACTATCTTTATCGCAACCTTTTTTCCAGTTTTATAGTGAAGGCCCAATTTGACTAAACCTGCCAAAATTATATAGTTATCATTCATTAAAATACTCTGGAATATAAAATGCATCGTTCGTATACTATATATCTGAAGGTGTGCAAATAATGTAAGTTTATTCTAAGAAAATCAGTAATTTAATTCATATGATAAAGAAAGGTTATTATTTGATTTTTAGCTTAAAATAAGTCTAAATTTTATCCTGGAATTGTATAAAATATGCTAATAAAAAAAATTGCTAAATATAAAAGGATTTATTTTTTGCAAACTTACGATAAGTTCTTACTTTGAACATTGCGCATTTTAATTTTTAAATAGGCCTAAAAAATTTTTTGGAAAATACCCGGGTCGAGTCGTATATTTTAAACCCGAATATTTAAAATTGCCATTAATAGCTATAAAACTTAAAAATAAATGTAATATATTTTTAAAAAATCCTGGCCGGGCCAAAAAAATTTCTTAATCCGGGCTGGACCTGAAAATATAAAACCCGGGCAGGGCAAAAAAATTTTTTAAAATCCGGGTCGGGTCATGCTAATGATATTTTTGCAGGTCTCTGCTTTGAACTAAGTATGGAATAAAATGGTTGTCATCAACATTTAAATATTAATACAGAATTTCGTTGCAAATTATAATTATTTCCCAATATATTTTTAATCCTTAAATATTTTCCAAGCCTCTAAAAAGTTTCCAAGATATTTTCAGGCCTCTTAAGAATTTTTATTCTCATCGAGGGAATCACCCACAAATTTATGTGATAAGCCTCTGTCAATTAATAAGACTAAACCATAATTGAAAATAAGCATTGATAGAGTATGTTTTGTTTCTAATTGCATATATAGTGGGATACATGATAATTTTAAAACATAAAATCGATATATATAAAACACTTATAATTTGTTACAATATCGAAGCTTGATAATTGGAAGGCTCGCTCTACTCACCTTTTTTATTGAAAATGAGAAAATCGAGCTTGAAGATTTAAATCATTATTTTTGTAATTAGCAATCGAGACCAGAAGAAATAGTGGTGTTTAGCAATAAAATAAATTCTATTACTGGGGGGGGGCAAAATAACTAGATTATATCCATTTTTACATCACATCTAAATGCAAATAAAGCAAAGAATAATGATAAACCAAGTAAGTTTGAAATGTTATGCATTCTAAGAAAAAATTTACATTAATTACAAATTAATATTGCTGTAAATAGTGTTTGCAACAATCCATCCCGTCCGGTCCGGTCCCTTTTTTCATTAATGCGACCAGATCGATGGACCTTTAAGTTAAGTAAGACCGAACCGTTGGACCATCGGTTCAGTCCGGTCGGTCCGGTCCCATCTAAAAAAATTATTAAGCTACAAAAGTTTTAAATCAATTTGATTTACATTCAAGTTTTTTTGATATATATTTTAGAGGTCTACATTGGGCGGGTTTTTGAACCATAACCCCCCCCCCCCCACCCAATGTTTTAACAAAATTTAATCCCGCCCGCCCAGCCCGCCCATAGTCTTCAAAAAAAATATACACACTGGCCCGCCCATTAGTCTAAAATTACTTACCCGCCCCATTCTTTCAATTTTTTAAGCATCTAATAAAAAATATTTCAGAATTACACCTCTGCAATTTTTTTTTAGGAAATTACAATATTAAGTATAAAATAATTTAAATTATGGATAATTTATTTGATCAAATAAAATATTTATGAAAGTAATATAAATAAAAAATTGATATTATATTTAATTAATGATGCAAAAATAATAATGAATCGACATTTTCTTGATTCAAACACGTTCTTCTTTGTTCTAAAAACCTTCCAGCAATACTAAATCTTCGTTCAGAAGAAGCACTAATTGGAGGAATTGTCAATATTTTTCTTGCTAACCTTGATAGCTTTGGCAAATCTCTTTCTTGCCGTTTCTACCAAAAGAGTTTTAAATATACAAAAATGTATATTTATTTTAAGAAAATTTTTTTATGATACCAAAAGGATTTTAATTTTTAATATCCAAAAAAGTACATAGGAACAATTTTTTATTAATATTTACACAAATGATTTTAAATTTTTTTAACCAACCCTCTCATTGTTTAATTTTCTTTACCCGCCCGCCCGCCCCTAGTTTAAAATATTTATTTAACCCGCCCGTCCTCTTGCCCTCTCTTAAAAAATTTTAAACTAGACCCTATCTAGACCTCTAATATATATAATGCGATAGCAGGCGCGTACGCAGGAATTTGGTCTGGAAGGGGGAGGGGATAATAAATTTTTTTAAGAAATATTATTGTTAATTAAAAATACTAAGCATAAATTTATTAGGATTAATAACTTTTCTAATACACAATTTTAAACTAATGTGAATTAAAAAAATTATATATATAAACCGGCATTGAAAGGAGAAAGTGAAATTCAACTCCCTCCCCATTAGATCTAATAATACCCAACGATATGAATCACTTAAATGACCCAAAATGGAAATTTAAATTTTTTGAGCTTTTAAAATATATAAAGTATAAAAAATTTAAATGTTGGAAATATAAATTAATACACAAAATGTTTCTTAGGAATAATTGTACTTTGTATGTTATGAGCTAATTTTTCAATTATCTCATCCTTGCTTGGCGTTAAATGCCTATGAATATTCAAGATCCAAACCATTCAATCTACTTTCAGAAGTTTTACTTCATAGGTATGTTTTTCAGAGACTTGCAGGCCACCGTATTTTAAATATACCTGAGCTGGGCCCAAAATTTTTTTAAAAAAAAACACCTATGCTGGGCCTGAAAATTTTTTTAAAAAAAATATCATGGCCGGGCTATATATTTTAAAACCAAATATTTGAAATCGAATAAAATTCACCAATAAAAATAAAAATAAATAAAATAAAAATGAACAACTTTGATGGTTGATCTGAATCTAAAACTTGGTCCATTTATAAAAAAAAATATAATATATAATAAAATAAAATAAAAATTTTTTTACCATCTTTTTTTAGAAAAATTTTTAAATAAAGCGTAAGTTTTATGTAATTCTTAACACAAAAAAAGACTCGTTACCTTTTGGCAAGTCTTCTTTAAAAGGGTAACTGGGTTAGTAATGAGTTACTTTCATTGCTGTTACTTTACAGCACTACAAATTAATAAAATTATTTAACGATAAAACAGTTTAACAGAATTTTATTAGTATATTTCAATGAATAATATTCACAAAAAAATATATAAAATAAGTAAAAATATTATTATTGAGAGAAATGCTTAATATTTTTTTATTAGTTTATTATAACTTCTAGGCATTTTATATATCCTGTCCTATCTTATAATAATGATTAAGTTATACCAAATGTAAAATGTTATAATTTATCTAGATAAAAATTAATTAATATGCTCTGTCAAAACTTAATATTTTTATTTAAAAATTTGTTTAAACATAGATAATAACTATTCCTTTTTAAACTGATGTCAATTTTTAGTAAATATTGAGTAGAGCAGTTCAAATTCAAATATCAAGCGAAGTTATACCAATTAGAAACAATCTATTCAGAATCTACGAGCATTTATTAATTTAAATATCACCCTAACAGTAATTTTAATAATAAATACCCCCTATCCCCCGGATGAATTTCTTTACCAGTAAGTGTCTACACTTTCTGAATGATGGAAGCAAAATACACCCCCCCCCCCTTCCTCCGAAAATATTATTAATTAATTTTTGACACCCATAAATTTCAAAAATAATTTTTATTGCATCAATCTTTAATATATAATAAAAATATTATTTTTAAATTAATAATTTAGACAAATTAGGGGAAGAGAAAGCGAAAGAATTAATAATTTCATCAATATTTAATTGTTAAAATAAAAAAAATTTCCATTGATAAAATAGTTAACATAATACTATGAAGTCTTGTTTTAATTAATTTAATTTTACTCATGGCCCTTTCGGCAGTACATGAGGTAGTAGGAATGGTTAATATGTATAAAATTGTTAAATTAGGGAAAACAGAAAAATTTAAAAGTAGACTATAAGGTAAGATAAACGAATAATTTTCCCAGTTTGAATCATAAGTCTCAGAAAAGATAAATATAAACTATTAAATATAATAAAAAATTCAGAGTTGTTAAGGAGCGGCGCTACACTTTTTCAGAAACACCTGGAGAGCCCCCTTTTGAAAATCAGGAGCGGGAGCTAGCTCCTTTTAGGTTTTAAATTTATAAATTAAATTATTTTTTAAATATTAATAATCTATTTATTAGTTAATAAAAATTCAAAAAATGAAATTTTATTTTATTTAAATTTATCCAATATTAAATGTTGAGCCGAGTCTTATATTAGTTTTTCATATAATGAGTTAAAATATTAAAAATCAAGTTTTTCTTTCTTTATATTAAAAATTTCTTGGAAAATCTTGTAAGTCATATTAATATTCATTTTATAGATATATCATAAAAAATAGTTTTCGATATTAAGAATCCAGACATCATAGAAGAAGAAATCGAAATAAAAAATAAATTATCTATTTAAATAACTCTAATTTAATTTGATCGCAAGATATATAATAGCCGCAATGATATTTTCATTATTATAAACAATTAAAAATCTGCAATAAAGTTATTTAAATAGATAATTTATTTTTTATTTCGATTTCTTCTTCTATGATGTCTGGATTCTTAATATCGAAAACTATTTTTTATGATATATCTATAAAATGAATATTAATATGACTTACAAGATTTTCCAAGAAATTTTTAATATAAAGAAAGAAAAACTTGATTTTTAATATTTTAACTCATTATATGAAAAACTAATATAAGACTCGGCTCAACATTTAATATTGGATAAATTTAAATAAAATAAAATTTCATTTTTTGAATTTTTATTAACTAATAAATAGATTATTAATATTTAAAAAATAATTTAATTTATAAATTTAAAAGAGTGGTGGAGCGGCGCTCCTCCTCTCCAACCCTAAAAGGAGCTAGCTCCCGCTCCTGATTTTCAAAAGGGGGCTCTCCAGGTGTTTC